AAACGAATTTTCATAATAACGTCTAAACTATTTTTAAATCCTTCTTTCCATAATATGAAAGTGTAAAAGATGAAGTTAGGTAGAATGCCATGTTTTTTTTTATTTGAATCTTATTTCTTGAGGTACGTCGTACTTTGTTAATTGGGATTATTTTGTATAGATTGCGATCCGTCTTCTTTATTTTTTTCAAATAACAATAACTATTTAACTGCTTTTTATCTAAAATATTGTCTAAAAATGTATACATTTGGGGCAACGAAACGGGCAACTTAAAAAAAGTATATATATTGTCTTTTATATGGCATACATTACCAATTAATAAATTACTTGTATCAGAAACTTTATGAAGAAATAAAAATGTATAGAAACGCCAATGGCTCCTTTTCTTTGGTCCCAAGTATAAGAGAACCTAACGGGTAACCGGGGCTCGATGTGCAGGAGAAGGAACGGGGTGGTTTTTAGTCAGTAAGAGTCTGACACTCCCTCCCGCCTCACCCAGGCGGGAGCAGTCATTCAATGATTTTCCCCCCTTAAAAAAAAAGTATAATTAACCTAACATAACCTACATTTAAACTTTTTTAAATGTATGAAATTTAAACAGTTTTATATATCTTAAATACAAACAGTTTTAAATATTTTAAATTTAAACCAGTTTCAAATAGTATTAAGTTTATTTTCTGTACTTTGAGTATTTCATTTTTATACCGATCAAATAAACAATTGGACATTCATACATTTTCCAACAATACCTTCAAGTTGATTAAACAAGTAACGAACACTAATCTGATTTTTGATAACAACACATTGTGTGAAAACGGAACATAAATATAAAATTATGTTATCATACAATTATCTTGTTTTCCACAAAGGTGTGGCTTTATACGCACGTGACGATTAAGTATCTGTTCCTCACTAAAGACTAGATAATTATATTTTTAACGCTATCATAGATTTTGCTAGCGTGTTGCCCACGTTCCTAAGATAAAATGTATTCTTCCAGGTCAAGATCTATCTCTGTACTAAATATCACTCAAATCTGACCAGTAGTTTCTTGTTTAAGAGTTACAAACATATTCACTGTGAAATAGTTTTGTCTTAGTAATATAGTTTTACAAAGAAATAAAATAAGCG